TTTCCGAGATCCCCGTTGTTCAGATCGCGTGCTGGAATCTGGTACGTGAGTGCGCAGTCCCGTGCTCTTCCCTGTCGCTTTTCCCTTTATTTTATTTTTCTTGCTTGCCACGAGGGAAGATCTGTAGGGGTAAGCGATGCTAGTTCACGGTAAAAAGAATTTCTAATGGATGGAGGATCTAGGTCCCATGTTCTTCCCTGCTGCTACGGTTTACAAGTTCTTACATGGTTTCCATTCTTAAATAGATTCATGTTCTTCCCTGCTGCTACGGTTTACAAGTTCTTACATGGTTTCCATTCTTATATTAGATTCATATTTTACCTTTTCTGATGCGCACAGACATTCCTGCTGCCATCCGTTTTGAGGTATATGAGGTTATTTTTATGCAGCGCTTAGTTAAATCCCACGCACCCGGCGCCGCATCTAGATCTTCTCCTATTTTCCTAGTTTAAATGTACTGTTTTAGTTCTCCTTGGACTGGTAGTTAAAGCCGTGGGTTCTCTTCATGTTCCAAAATTAACACCGGCTAGCTGTTCTTCATGATCCAACAACTTACATGCTGTTTCAGCGTTTTCTCAAGTCTGAGTTACCGCAATGTGTAGAATAGGGCTAGCATAACTCTACTGTTGTCCTGCTTGATACGTACAATGGATTTATGTTGTCGTGTCCCCAGTTCAGTCGCTATACTTGTCGCCGATGTTTTTTCAAGATTGGTGATGTAGATGTTTTTCCCCACATGGCAGATGGAGAATTTTCTCACGAAATGTTCGGTTGAAAGCGACCTTGGCTGAATTGTTGATTGCAAAGGTGCCAACCTCCTCTTCTTTATGTACACCAACCAGTCATTTTGTTGCCTATAATAACCATTTAAAGGCCGTGCTTATTTTCTATTTTGCAGCTATTCTGGGGAATCAGTCGCTGTTGGCTGTATCTTTTTTCCTTTTCTGATCCTGAGTAGAAATTGTTTGGTTGAAGACTGTCATTCAAGATGATGCAGAGGCCATTCCGCCCGGAGGAGTACTCCTTGAAGGAGACTACTCCTCACCTTGGTGGAGCAGCTGCAGGTGACAAGCTCACCACCACCTATGACCTGGTTGAGCAGATGCAGTACCTTTATGTTCGAGTGGTAAAAGCGAAGGAACTTCCAGCTAAGGACCTCACTGGAAGTTGTGACCCGTATGTTGAGGTGAAGCTTGGGAATTATAAGGGCACAACTCGGCATTTTGAGAAGAAGACCAATCCTGAGTGGAACCAGGTGTTTGCCTTCTCAAAGGAGCGCATTCAGGCATCAGTAGTGGAGATTATCGTCAAAGATAAAGACTTTGTTAAAGATGACTACATTGGACGGGTTATGTTTGACCTTAATGAGGTCCCAAAGCGAGTTCCACCTGACAGCCCGTTGGCTCCACAATGGTATCGCTTGGAAGAACGGAATGGGCACAAGGTCAAAGGAGAGTTGATGTTAGCTGTTTGGATGGGTACTCAAGCAGATGAAGCATTTCCTGAAGCTTGGCACTCTGATGCTGCGTCAATCCCTGGTGATGGCCTTGCAAGTATTAGATCAAAAGTTTATCTTACTCCTAAGCTTTGGTATCTGCGTGTCAATGTCATTGAAGCACAAGATCTTATACCAAATGACAAGACCAGGTTCCCTGAGGTTTATGTCAAAGCAATGTTAGGAAACCAGGCTCTTAGAACCCGAGTATCACCAGGCAGGACTCTGAATCCAATGTGGAATGAGGACTTGATGTTTGTTGCAGCTGAGCCATTTGAGGAGCACCTGATTTTGAGTGTAGAAGACAGGATTGCTCCAGGAAAGGATGATGTAATTGGGAGAACTGTCATTTCACTGCAGCATGTAGCTCGGAGGCTGGACCACAAGTTGCTGAACAGCCAGTGGTATAATCTTGAGAAGCATGTGATGGTGGATGGTGAGCAGAGGAAGGAGACCAAGTTCTCAAGCAGGATTCACTTAAGAATTTGTCTTGAAGGTGGATATCATGTCTTGGATGAATCGACACATTACAGTAGTGATCTAAGGCCAACTGCCAAACAGCTGTGGAAGCATAACATTGGGGTCCTTGAGCTGGGTATCTTGACTGCGCAGGGCCTGTTGCCTATGAAGACGAAGGATGGACGCGGCACGACTGACCCTTATTGTGTTGCTAAGTATGGGCAGAAATGGGTGCGTACAAGGACTATCATTGATAGTTTCACTCCCAAGTGGAATGAACAGTACACTTGGGAAGTGCATGATCCATGCACTGTGATCACTATTGGTGTATTTGACAACTGCCACTTGAATGGCGGGGAAAAGGCTAATGGTGCACGGGATACCAGAATTGGCAAGGTCCGCATCCGCCTCTCAACGCTAGAAACTGATCGGGTGTATACCCACTCATACCCTCTTATTGTTTTGACACCTGCTGGCGTTAAGAAAATGGGTGAGGTACAGCTTGCTGTCCGGTTCACATGCTCATCACTGTTCAACATGATGACTCTGTATTCACAGCCCTTGCTGCCCAAGATGCACTATATACACCCGTTGTCTGTGATCCAGGTTGATAACCTAAGACGCCAAGCAACCAACATTGTCTCAACCAGGCTGAGCCGTGCAGAACCGCCACTGCGAAAAGAAATTGTGGAGTACATGCTGGATGTGGATTCTCACATGTGGAGCATGAGAAAGAGCAAGGCAAACTTCTTCCGTATCATGGGTGTCTTGAGCCCTCTGATTGCAGTTGCTAGATGGTTTGATCAGATCTGTCACTGGAGGAACCCACTGACGACTATACTGATCCATGTCCTCTTTGTGATACTGGTCTTGTATCCTGAGCTGATACTGCCTACAATCTTTCTCTACCTATTCCTGATTGGAGTGTGGTACTACCGGTGGCGGTCGAGGCAGCCTCCGCACATGGACACTCGCCTCTCACATGCGGAGACCGCCCATCCTGACGAGCTTGATGAAGAGTTTGACACCTTCCCTACATCTCGCCCACCTGACATCGTCAGGATGCGGTATGACCGCCTCCGGAGCGTTGCTGGGAGGATCCAGACTGTTGTTGGTGATCTTGCAACACAAGGAGAAAGACTGCAGTCTCTGCTGAGCTGGAGAGACCCAAGGGCCACCGCGCTGTTTGTGACCTTCTGCTTCATCGCTGCGATCGTCCTGTACGTCACACCATTCCGTGTTGTGGTCTTCCTTGCAGGCCTGTACACCCTGAGGCACCCGAGGTTCCGCCACAAGATGCCGTCTGTCCCGCTGAACTTCTTCAGGAGGCTGCCGGCAAGGACTGATAGCATGCTGTAAGGTGCAACCGTCTCTCTCGCTCCGTGATCTGGCGCCTTCCTTGTTTCGGTGGCTCGATGCTGAGCATGTTCTATAGCTGCAACTGAGATGATGCTGGGGTCGAAGCGCGGTTGCCAAAAAATTGAACTGAACTATGTCGTTGTTTGTAGTCTTTTCAGTTGCTTGTGTGTCTGTTTTGGGACGGTTTTGAACCTTTCCTGTTGACGACTGAAACGCCTGATGTGTGACTAGTTATTATGCATGTATGCCGCCTGAAGAAATTGTGCTATCACCCGAGCTTCTGCTGTGTCCTATCATCTTTTGCATTTGCATCTAGCAGTGGTCGGCCTGCATGAGAAGATTCAGTGTGCGCCTGGGACACTGTTAATGATATTTTTGCTGAACGACTGAAGCGTGAACTGAATCCATGACGGCATTTTGCTGTCACTGAACCTGGGTTGGTATATGTGTGCATGTAGTTTCAGGTCAAGTATGTACAAGTAGTTGCGTGCTGCGCCTTCGTTTACCGTTTATGCATCTTCTCTTTCGTCCCATTTTTCTCATAGGAATGCTGATCTATCGTCAGTTGCTTCAGTTGGAGCTGCTGCCAGTATTGGGATCCTACTTTTTTGTTGCACTTCACAGATGGAGTGTTCCTTCACTCGCCCGAATATGACCAAGAGTTTGGCATTTATCTCCCAAATTTGAATGCCAACTCCTCGAATGCCAATCGACATGTTGAGGAAATTGCGCTTGTCCATGAATTTCTGTTTTTGATCGATGTACACACGTTCAAATATCAACTTCTTAGGATGTAATACATTCAAAAACTAATTGGCTCCTGTCTTTGCATCTCAAGCACCTATACCAATTTAGGATACTATATACACATTTTATAAGGATTTAGGTATGTGCGTCGGAAATATCGAGGTCCACGTACTTGCTTACACTTTTCCTCTCAAAAAGAGAAGAGAATGCCCCTAATGCTTTTCAAAGTACATTCATACTAGTTAGGTAGACACATGTGAGATATAAAAGAATGCTGGCTGCCAACACTAAAGTTGAATGGATATTAATATATCAGTACTCAGTTAATATATCACGTTTCTTCGGACGTCAGACAGCGAGACATACATACGAGTTCCAATCGAGCTTCTTAAGATAATCGTCCATCCATACCGCCAGCAAAACCAGACGACCAAAGATAAAGCATGCGCACACAGCAGCACTAACAATGGTCGCGCCATGGGGCGAGATGAGATCTGCGTGCCTCAAAAAGAAGCAAGCAACCTTTCCAAAAGAAAAAAAAAAGGAAAAGAAGAAGCCAGCAATGCATTTGTCCGTCTTTTGCGTGTCGCGCAACATGCTTCCATGGCCTCAGATCTACCATGTTCCGTCTTGACATGTTCCCCTGCCAGTATATGCAAGAACAATGGAAGCAAGCGAAGCATCAGGTAAAGTAAATCTCAACTGATGAACCGCCTGCTAAATCTACCATGGTTAACTCGCGTAACCCACCAGTAAGTTGGCGATTCATCACCAGCATTTCATGGATCCACCAACAAGATACCAATTCATCACTAATGTCTCGAGCACAGAGAACCAGGTACTTGAAAAATTCTGCATAGAAACAAAAAAAAATCCCATCAAATTCAATTTGTTAATTTTTATTTCCTTTATTTTTAGTATTTGAAGTAATTTTGAACCCCCCTTATGGTATATTCCTGTGGGGCATAACCCCACTTCTCCTGCCTGGCCATAGCCCCCACCCCTATTCCTGCGCCCCTCTAACACTAAACCTTGTACACACCCTACCCTCTACGTGTCATATACTCTACAACTACAACTCTCTAGTTATTCTACTTGGTGGTAGCTTTACTGAGGCCGTCCTTAATAAAATGGTGGAATCTGTTGGGCATAAGCCACGGCGATCGCGTCGGGCGTGCGTGTGTGCACGCGGGATGGATCGGGAGCGCGGCGTGCGTGACCGGTGTGTGTGCATGCTTGGTAGTTAGCAAGCGGACGTGGATGATGCATGCGGAGTCCGGCCGCGTCGAGCGCGTAAGAGCGCGTCGTGTGCGCGGCCTGGGCATGCGGATCGTGGAACGCGTCGTGAGCGAGCAGGCCGGAGTGGGGTGTGGCGTGTGTGTGCTATATAGCTCCCTCCTGTGTACTGGTTCTCGGGTGAGCTAGGTCGTAAGCCATGTAGCCGAGTGGCTGAGTTTGTGCTCAGGTAAGGAAATACACAAGGACGCCGTACGTGCGGCGGGCGGAGTTCGTGCTCCGGCAAAAAACACTTGTGTACTTGCGTCTTTCTTCTTCCTTGAGAGCTGAGAGAGTGGATAGAGGTGCTGCTGAGCGAGAGGAAGAGGAAGGCCGCGGCAACAACAATTGGCATCAGAGCCTCAAGGTTCGAGGGGTGGTCGTGGCATGTGGCGGCGTCCCTGGCGAGCGCGACGGACATGGACACGTCGGCTGCGATGCGCGGCCATGCACGGTGATGCCGTGCGCGCAACAAGCAGCGGCGATCGCGGAGACGAGGAGGTCGTGGAGGACCTGCATGGTGGCGCAGAGGCTGCGGCGGCTCGACGCAACGACCGTGGAGGCGCTGCGGTTGACGGCGCAGCGGTGTAGGGTAAGCGCGGCGGCGAGTTGGGCGCGACCGGTGCGTGTTATGGGTGCGCACCGGATGCGTCGGACGCGTCGTGGCCGCGGGAGTGGACCGCGTCAGGGCACTGTACCTGGTTGCGCAGATCGCGTACGTGCGCGGCGGGAGCGCGGGGATGTGGGGACTGCGCGCGAAGGGCACGACGGCATGGTGGCAGGCTTGGCAGCGACGTCAGGGCGGTGGCGGCTACAACGACTTCGACGGCACGGCAGAGGCCGCAGCGGTGCGGTGCGGCGGCCATGGCGACATCGACGACGATGGACTCACCTGTTGTAGTTCGTGGCTTAGGAGGGTGAGTGTTGGGCATAAGCCACGGCGATCGCGTCGGGCGTGCGTGTGTGCACGCGGGACGGATCGGGAGCGCGGCGTGCGTGACTGGTGTGTATGCTTGGTAGTTAGCGAGCGGACGTGGACGATGCATGTGGAGTCCAGCCGCGTCGAGCGCGTCGTGTGCATGGCCTGGGCATGCGGATCGTGGAACGCGTCGTGAGCGAGCAGGCCGGAGTGGGGTGTGGCGTGTGTGTGCTATATAGCTCCCTCCTGTGTACTGGTTCTCGGGTGAGCTGGATCGTAAGCCATGTAGCCGAGTGGCTGAGTTTGTGCTCAGGTAAGGAAATACACAAGGACGCCGTACGTGCGGTGATGAAGCTATGTACCTAGGGTAGGGTCATGGACCTGTCCAGACTGACCTACCCAAGGACACCTCCAGAAGAAATCACATTTCAATCGACTTGGCGGTGTTTCACTCGACGAACTCGAAGACACTCGACCAAGAAGCAACCACTCGACCAAGATCCAACCACCCGACGGCCAGGAGACCTAAAGTCACTCCGCACGCTAACGGTCGGTCATTAAGTAGCTTTTATGGTCATCATAGCACTTTATTAGGGGCGTTACCAGTAACGCCCAACCTTAATGTACTTAAAACCCTGCATAACTGAGGGCCGGAGGGGTCTAGCGGACTCTATATAAGCCACCCCCTCCTCAGTGTAAAGGGTTCGCACCTGAAAGTGCGTTATATCGACTAGAGGGGGGGGGGTGAATAGGCGATTTTTATGAAAGTCTTCAAAACGTGGAAGTTTCGAAGACAAACGATAGAAATAAACCTATTACCATGCAGCGGAAGGTAGACTACACTGGGCAAACCATAGTCAAGTATTCAATGAAGTGAGAGCACAATGACTAATAGCAGCAATGTAGTAAGGATCAGGTAGGAAGATGTTATGAAGCCAAACAGAACACGCAGTCACTCAGTGAAGACAAAAGATAGTGCAAACATACAATGACTTCACAAGGAGTAACAGTAAGTAAAGGGAAGGGAAGGATGAAACCAGTGACTCGTTGAAGACAATGATTTGTTGGACCAGTTCCAGTTGCTGTGACAACTGTACGTCTGGTTAGGGCGGCTAGGTATTTAAACCTGAGGACACACAGTCCCGGACACCCAGTCCTGAACACGCAGCTCAGGACACCCAGTCCTCACCGTATTCCCCTTGAGCTAAGGTCCCACAGACCTCGCCCAATCACTCTGGTAAGTCTTCAAGGTAGACTCCCAAACCTTCATAGACTTCGTTCACCGGCGATCCACAATGTCTCTTGGATGCTCAGAACGCGACGCCTAACCGGCTGGAGGATTCACAGTCCTCAAGTGTAATAAGTCTTCAGATCACACAGACAAGAAGACTTAAGTGATGCCTAATTCTCTTTGGCTCTGGGTGGTTAGGGCTTTATCCTCGCAAGGAATTCTCTCTCAAAGGCTTCGAGGTGGGTTGCTCTCAAACGACAAAAGTCGTACTCTAACTCTGAGTAGCCAACCATTTATGGTTGTAGGGGGTGGGATATTTATAGCCACTAGGCAACCCGACCTGATTTGTCCGAAATGACCCTGGGTCACTAAGGAACTGACACGTGTTCCAACGGTCAGATTTCAAACTCACACGGTAACTTTACTTGGGCTACAAGCAAAGCTGACTTGTCCGACTCTAGACAAGATTCGCTCTCATAGTCTTCACTCGAAGACATAGGTTTTGTTTAAGCATCACTTCAGTCATTCTGACTGGTTCTCTTGGACCCCACTTAACAGTACGGTGGTTCCTATGACTCAACGAAGAAGAAAAAGAACTACGAAAGATCTAAGTCTTCGAGCTCCATAGGCTTCATGCGATGTCTTCTCTTGTCATAGTCTTCAATGTGAATATCTTCATATACCACCTTTGACATCAATGTCTTCATACATTTTTAGGGGTCATCTCTGGTAGGAAAACCGAATCAATGAGGGACTTCTACCTGTGTTATCCTGCGATTCTCACAAACACATTAGTCCCTCAACTAGGTTTGTCGTCAATACTCCAAA